ATACTGATGTAATATGTAAGCCAGTCTTTGGACAATGGCCCACCCGTTTGAACTAATAAAGTGCCAGGGGCCTAAGTAGTCACTTCAATATTAAAAAAAAAAAGATTTACAAATATCTACCTTCTATTTTGGTTCTGCACCTCACTAAAAGCTTCAAAAAGGGTTTCATTTCCATTATGACGAACAGTACAAGAAATACAAGTATGAGGCATTTTATTATTAGTATTATTATTATTATTATTTGTTATTATTGTTGAAGTTAATAAAAAAAAAAAAAAAAAAAAATTATTACATATATATATAATAGAAATTTTAACGAAAAAAAAAAATACTTCTTCAACAATATGCTTAATTTAGTTACAAATCTTGATATTATTTTGTATTCTGTTTATTATTTTCGTTGGGCACAATATTATAGTGGAAGATTGTGATGATTATATATGAGTGATGAAGCATATAATACTTTTCTTTATTATTTTGCTTATTTATTTATTTTATTTTTAGATTATTTCTATTTTTGTTTATTTCTTTGAACATTATGTTGGGAACAATTAATTAAAATAAGGTTGAAGCATGTAGTATTATAATTGGTAATTTTGTATCATTTTTGATATATTTTTGGTATATTTTGATGGGATATACAAATTTAGATAACAGAAATCGCTAGAACAATTATAATGCATAACAAAAGCTAAGAAAATAATGAAGCAAAACAAACTTATCAGAACAATATAGAAACTTAAAGAAGAATAAAGAAAATTTTCATTGTTTACAGGAAAATTAAAGAAACTTTTAGAAATTTTTTAAAAAAGGAAGAGATTATAATAAAGACAAGAAGATCTTTATAAAAAGAGCTCATTTCTGCCTTGCTCTACTACAAACAAAAATTAAGAAAACACAAACTTAAAACCAAAGAAGCAAGAAAAAGAACCCAAACCAAGAAAATCTAGAAGAAAAAAAAACCAAGAAAAAAAAATAGCCCAACTCTCTAAAATAACCAAACTAATAGCTGAACAACTTCAATATAAATTATAAAAATTGAATTCAACCTCAATTATAATAATTACTCCTAAAGAAATTATTTATCAAGGCAAAACTCAAGTAATGCAAGCCTTTTTAAAACTTACTGATACTCAGAAGATTTGACAAAAATTGCCTCTATACATCAAGGATCTTCAAAAATCTATTACAAGTGCTGGCCTACAAGATATAGTAGAAGTTTTTGGCTATACCTGGGAAGATAAGGTGCAATCTATTTGCAAAAAGATTAAACGCTTCAAGAATGAAGATAAGGCCATTTATTGATCTCTAGAGTGGTGCTATCGACTTAGTAAACTTCTTTGTATAAGAAGTTGGAGTGAGAATGCCTTAAACCTTTTAATACAAGAAGTTGGCTCTTGAAAAGGACCTGAAGCATTTCAAATAGCTAAAAAGATCTTTGAGCTATACAATACTTGAGGAATCTGGAATCTGTACCAGGCAGAAAAAATAAGTTATAGGGTTTTAGCTTATATGTATGACTCTGATTTTGAGATACTAAAACAAGAAGCTTATTGTGCCTACTTAGAAAAAGCTGGTGATTCTACCATTCCTGACAAGTTCTAAAATATTTGCAAGAGCTCATATTTTAAGGAGAGGATGATATTACTAATATTACTTGATTTTTCTTTTCTATATTTTCTTTTATTATTTGTTTTTATTATTTTGATATTAGTTTTGTATTGTTTAAAGATAGTTTT